TGGTGGATAAGTCTTTTATACATTGTTGGAATTAATTTGCTAATAGTTTTGTTGAGAGTTTTTGTATCTGTGCTCATTTTTAAATAATGTAAATAAAATTCTTTGTGGGGCCATACAAAAACAGGCTGCATGCCAAATTGGCCCATGGGTTGTAGTTGGTCAGCCCGTTCCTAGCGTTTATAATATACATCTTGGACTCCCTGGAGTATAATATTAACTGTTACTTTCAACCTCTTTCCAGATAGTGTAGTTCTATTTATATACCATTGTATCATGTATTTTCAGTCTTCATGTATGTTAAAAATCCTACAAGATCATCTTATTTAGTCAGTGTTCAATTAGAATTATGCCCATATTTGTAGTTTTTATTTTGTTTGTGAAAATTTGTCTGAAATGCCTTTATTATTCTTGAAAGATATGTTTTGCTGTACTAGAATTTTAGATTGACAGTAATTCAGCATTTTGAAAATAATACAAAAGCACTAAAGAACATTTGTGGGAAAATGGAATAAAAAGTTTATTTTGGTGGCAAAAAATTGTTTTAAATGTCTAAAAGTGGGTGAGTCTCATTGTATAGGACCTTACTAGGGCTGGAATGTCTTAACTTTTTCTCAGGAAGTCCGGTAAAAAAAAATTTAAATATTAGTAGGACATTACTTGGCATGGCTAAGAGAAAATTTTGAAAACAGGAATGGAAAAAGCTCTAATAATGATTTATTTGTGAGGTGATAAGAATCTGGTTTGTGGTAAATAGAAATGAAGGGAATGGGGTATACTTCAAAGGAAGTATTTGATGTCTGTAATAGGAACTTGAGAAGAAAAAGCAGAGAGGTTTTGAGTTGTTTTAAGTGTGGATAAGTGTGAGCTAATGGACCAGCATTGTGCAGGGCTAAGCTGCCGCTGCCCTTGAATCCCATGCGAGCTCTGGTTCGAGTCCTGGCTGCCCACTTCCGATCCAGCTCCCTGCTAACGGCTCTGCCAAGACAGAACATGGCCTAAGTGCTTGGATCTCTGCCACCCATGTGGGAGACCTGGATGCAGTTCCAGGCTTCTGCCAGCCCGGCTCTCTAGCCATTGTAGCCATTTGGAGTGAAGCAACAGATGGTGAACTCTGTCTCCCTCTGTCTCTGTAAGTCTGCTTTTCAAATAAATTCATAGATCTTTATAAGTGGTAGCCTAATTAGAATCCATACTAAAAATGGGAAAACAAGAAGGATCCTTGGTTTAGGATAATTTGAATATAACATGATAGAATTGTTTCTTGGGTGATTTGAGATATGGCACTAGAAGATGAGAGTGAATTTTGTTGAGAATTTGCTGATTATCTAAGAATTGTTAGGAATTATTAAAAAAAATTTAATAATAAATGCATGCTGTCCATGTGGTAGAGGTGGTGTCCCTTATCATTCCTCAGGATTTACCACTGTTAGGAGTTTGTGCATATATTTTGACTTTTGGTGTGTATCAGCAAATGTGAGTGTTTTCCCACACTCTTTTCATCATGCTGTGGAGGGTGGTGGCACAGATCTATCCTCTTAACTTTGAAAATTAATAGTATGGTGTTCTTTACTTGTGAATCTTAGGTCATTTCTGATTTTTTTCATTTTTTATTGAAACCAGTGTTGCAAAGAATATTAGTAATTATCTTTGTTCACTTAGTTTTATAAAGTTAATTCTGGAATTGAGTCAGGGAGTAAGCAGATTTATCTTTTTTTAATTCCTGTTTCTACTTTTTAAAAGATATTTACTAATTTTCATTTGACAGTAGAGTGACAAGAGGAAGAGACAGGGAGAAAGAGAACTTCTAGCTGGTGGTTCACTCTCCAGATGGTTGCAATAGTTTGGGCTGGGCCAGGTCAAAGCCAGAAACCAAGAACTATATCTGGTGTTCCCTATGGGTAGTAGGGACTAAGTATTTGTGCCATTATCCACTCTATTTCCAGTCAGGATAGCAGGAGCTGGATTGAAAGCAGAGTAGTGAAGATTCAAACTGGTGCTCTGTTGTAGGATGCCAGCGTGACAAGTTGCAGCTTAACCTGCTACACCATAACTCTGGTCCCAAATTTATCATTTTGATATAGGTAACCTTCTGGAAAAGTTATGATTTTTGTGTGCATGTATGCAAATTAACAGTAATTTTTCCTCTCTTTTAGAGAAAATATAGCATGTGGTTGGGTATGGTACCTACTGATAATGTATGTAATGTAGTCTAGCTTTATAGTCACTAAAAATTAGCTTATAAGAAGAAAGTGAAATTAAAAAAAGTATTCTATGAATACAAAGATCCTTTTGGTATGGGAAATATGAGAGCTCTCTTAGTTTGGTGTGACCATAACCAGGTATCATGGACTAAAATGGCTTAAAGAGAAATTTGCAAATTTATTTCTCGTGGTTTTGGAGGCTGTGAAATCCAAGATCATGGTGCCAGAAGATTTGGTGGCTGGTGATGGTCTGCTGTTGGCTTGCAGACAGCTGTCCTCCTTTTGGGTCCACATGTGGTGGACAGAGCAAACTCTGGTTTCTCTCCTTTCTTCTATAAATCCTATCATGGGGGCTCCAGCCTTGAGACTTCATCTAAACCTGATTATTTCCTAAAGGCCCTACTGCTTACTACTGTCATGTTGGGGATTAGGGCTTTAACATGGATTTTTTAGGGGCACGTTCATTCCAAAGCAGACTATCCATAGATGTTTTCTTCTTCTTCTCCTTTTGTGTTTGTGTGTGTGTGTGTGTGTGTGTGTGTAATCCACTCCACTGGAATTGGAGAAGGAAGGCTAAAGACTTTTTTTTTTTTTTTTACAGGCAGAGTAGACAGACAGAGAGAAAGGTCTTCCTTTTTTTCCATTGGTTCACTCCCCAATGGCCGCTGCGGCTGGCGTGCTGCACTGATCCAAAGCCAGGTGCCAGGTGCTTCTCCTGGTCTCCCATGGGGTGCAGGGCCCAAGGACTTGGGCCGTCCTCCACTGTACTCCCTGGCCACAGCAGAGAGCTGGCCTGGAAGAGGAGCAACTGGGACAAAATCCGGTGCCCCGACCGGGACTAGAACCTGGGGTGCTGGCGCTGCAGGCGGAGGATTAGCCTATTGAGCGCCAGCCTCCATAGATGTTTTCAGAGGAACTGGAATTGGAATTGAGATTGGTGACTGAGAGAAGGATATTTTGAAATTGATGACATACTGAAAAGTACTTCTTTTTATTGGATTCCAGTGCCCAAAGGCAAGGTGATAAATAATTTTAGCTTCATTTTCCAAATATATTCATCTTAATAAATTTTTTTTCCCAAAAGGACTATACTCCCATTTTAAAGTAAGAGTTAGTGGCAAAATTTACTTTATTGTATACTTAACGGAATCAGAGAGAAAAAATACTGATGTTTAGCTTTGAAATCTTTGTTTACTAGCAGTGGGATTAAAGGGTAGTTTTTTATTTTATTAATGGTAGTTTCAGTTTCAGCTGAGTGAAATAAAAACCCTTTAATACTTTTATTGGTATTATTGAAAAGTTTCAGACAGAATTATTGTATGGTTTCTCTCTTTTAAACAGTTAATTTAGGCCAAGAGCAGAAGCATAAATGCATGCTAGTTTTATGAACCACTTCATTTAATCTGTGGCAAATGTGTATTCTTGACAGCATGATTTTCTGGTAGCTGCTGCAAATAATGTACTCTGGATTTATAGACATTGAGTCCTAGTTTATGTTTAAATAAGAGTGAGGTGTAAAGCATCCTTGAAGGACTTTTCCCCCTTTATTAAAAATATAATTTCACTGGAAAACCACAGCAATCCCAATTGTAGTTTAAAGGTCCCATGTAATATGTAGACATCAAACTAATTTATCAGAGATGATACCTTTCAAGCAAGACTGAGTAATTTTATGGTTGGTTTGCATAGGCCAAAATCCTTTCTTGTAGTAAGAAAAAGTAACTCATGGTAACTCATGAAAGCTATCAGGAAAAAACTGTAAGTATAATAGTCTAGAGAATGATTAGTGAAATTAAGGAGATTGAACTATTATTTTTGTTATTAATTTTTTACTTCTAGATGTAATAAGCATTTAAAATTTTATTTGTTTGAGAGGCAGAGAAAGAATTTCCCATTTCACTGTCCAAGTACATGCAGTGCAATGATTGGGGCTAGGCTGGAGCTGGAGCCAGGAGCTCAAGCTTATGGATTGCAGGAACCCAGGCACTTGAGTCATCACCTGCTGTCTCCCAGGGTCTGCACTGGTGGGAAGCTAGAATCCTGTGCTGGAGCTGGACTTGAACCCAGCCACTCTGATATGGAACACGGGCATCTTCATTGCCAGGTCATATATCTGCCTCATGATGGAATACATACTTAGTTACCAGCAGTGATACTGGGGCAGTGCTTTTGGGGACAGATGAAATAATTTAGTTTCCTGTTCTTAGAATAATGCCTAACACATAGGAGGTGATCACTGTGTATTTCTCCTCTGAATCTGTAGCTTGAGCCGTTTGCCTTGTGTAAATTAATGACTCTGTAACATTAATCATAGATATGGTTACTTGCTTAAGGTCCTCTTTGTGAAGATTCTGATTTTCCCAACCACTTACTAAGTTACAAATGGCTTTCCCCCTGATTTGGGAGTGTGGATTTGGTACCAGAATACACTCTAAAAGCTAATCACAGTAGTTTCAGGAAACAGGACTCTGTGGTCTGTGAATCTAGGAGGGTCAGATTGGAAATGCCTGTACTTTGGGTATGGTTAATACTTGAAGATTTGACTTTGATGACCATGTAATCTTTGCATGGAAACGAAGAAAAAATTTTAAGATATTATTCAGTTCTGTTCTTGCATTTTGTTTTATGAACAATTGAAAATCTAAAAACTGGACTTTGATATAAAAGTGAAAAGAAAGATAGTAATAAAAAAGAGTCACCACAAAGGAACTTTAATTTTACTGATGACTAATTGTATTTCTCTGTGCAGGTCTAATTTGGCCTCTGGAGATTCTGCCTCAGCAAGAAGTGCAAAATAACTCTTGGAAAGAAAACTAAAAGAAAAGAAAGCCAGACTTGCTTTTACATGATTATCAGATTACCTACCAAGATGGACACTTTTCCCAACATTTTTCCTCCTGGTGGAGACAGTGGACTGACAAGTTCTCAATCTGAGTTCCAGAAAGTATTAATTGATGAGCGGTTACGATGTGAACATCATAAAACTAATTATCAGACTCTGAAAGCTGAACACACAAGGTAAATCACTTAATTTCGTTTAAAGTTAGTTATTGAAACTGTCTTAGCTAAATGTTTGTTCTGGATATACAGTAAAATTTTTTTTTGTTTGTTAGTATATACGTCTAAAACTAAAAATACAGTAAGATATTTGCATTAAAGTAATTTTATCCAAAACTAAGTATGGTATCAAATGAGATGTATTGAGGCGTCTAACTTTCCCTTTAAAGTAAAGTTACATTCAGAAACTTCAGTGTTGATAATTAAATGGATCTCTGTAAAGGAAAGATATTTGCAAGTTTAATAGCATGTGTGACATCACTCTTAGTTTTCTCTACTATTGGTTAGTTGATATAAAATGAAATTAAAAAGCAAAGGATACACTTAAAATTGAATTCTTTTTAAAAAACCAGGTTGCAGGATGAGTACATGAAGTCCCAAAATGAACTCAAGCGCCTGTTAAGTGAGAAGCAAACTAACCAGGAAAAATTCCAGCTGCTGCTTGAAGAGCTAAGAGGGGAGTTGGTGCAGAAAACAAAAGACTTAGAAGAAATGAAGCTTCGGGTGAGAAGATATATTTGAGATAATATGAAAGTGGAGAGAATTAGTAAAAGGTAGTTTTGGTAAATTAGGTAAATTTTCTCTATGTTCTTAGTGATTATTTTCTGGTATTGCCAGGTGGTATAATTTAATCTTCTTTCCATATAGTCTGGAATGTTAGCCACCATGCAGGGTAGTCATGAAACTGTTACATAAATTGATATTATGTTATCTATTCTGAGTTAAATAATAGTTCATCAGAATACTTAAGTGAAAGGCTAGTTTGATAAAAAAAAAAAAAAACAGAATTAAAGGATATGCTTTAAAAGAAATATTTACTAATTTTTATATATGTGTTGTGACTGTAGTAAGCTGAAAATAATTTTTGAACAGCTTCTTAAAACATTAAAACAATATGTACATATGATTTAGATCTGTGTTGTAACATAAGTGGGTTTCTTAAGCTAAACACAGTTGATACTGAAATACTGAATTTCAGGGTTTTTTTAAAGATTTATTTATTTATTTGAAAGTCAGAGTTACACAGAGATAGGAGAGGCAGAGAGAGAGAGATCTTCCATCTGATGGTTCACTCCGCAATTGGCCGCAATGGCCAGAGCTGCGCCGATCTGAAGCTAGGAGCCAGGAGCTTCTTCCGGGTCTCCCACACAGGTGCAGGGGCCCAAGGAGTTGGGCCATCTTCTACTGCTTTCCCAGGCCATAGTAGAGAGCTGGATCGGAAGAGGAGCAGCTGGGACTAGAACCGGCTCCCATATGGGATGCCGGCGCTTCAGGCCAGGGCATTAACCCGCTGCGCCACAGCGCTGGCCCCGAGTTTCAGTTTCTCTAGATTTTTTAAAAAAGATGTATTTATGTATCTATTTGAAAGTCAGAGTTACAGAGAGAGAAGGGGAGACAGAGAGATCTTCCATCACTGAATGATTCCCCAGATGACTGCAACAGCCAACCCTGGTCCGGGCCCGTGCCAGGAGCCTGGAGCTTCGTCTGGATCTCCCACGTGGATGACGGAGTCCAAACACCTGGGCCATCCTCTGTTGCTTTTCCACATGTATTAACAGGGAGCTGGGTGGGAATTGGATCAGCCAGGACATGAACTGAAGCCCATATTGGGGAGCTGACGACACAGGTGACAGTTCTACCTGCTACACCACAATGCCTGTCCCTCTACATAATTTCTACACTGTTCATTTTTCATTTGCCTGGAAAGTAGAGTAAAGCTAAACTTCATCTTCAGTCAGACCCACAGCAAATTTCTTATTAATGGTATTCGTAGTCTTTTTCTATATTCGAATCTACATAGTGCCAGCTGAGTATCTCTGCCTAAGAGTATAGATGGTACAAATGGCATGGTGTTATCAGTACCTGAGTAATAAGTCTGTAAAAGAAGAAGGCATCTTTCAAGTTACCTAGTCTGGCATGTCACTGAACTCACAGATTTCCTATAATGGGAGACTTGGAAGTTTGTCATTCCATAGCTTTTAAAATCTTCCATTGCTGGGAAAACCAACTTGGAATGGAGCCATCACTATACTTATTGTTTCATTCCTAGGTATTTTTAGTTCATTAATCAAATAAATAAAACCTTCATGAATGTGAGTTGAAGAAGAAATGTAAATTTGGAAAGCATATATGAATGGAAGCTGTGAACACTGAACCTGAAGTGACTGAGATATTCTTTAGGTATTTCACATTAAATTCAGAATACTTAAATGTATTTTCTTGAAAATAACATCTAAACCTATTAGCACAGACAGAAAGTAAACTTGAGAAAGCTGAAGTGACTATATTATTATCAAATAAAGTGGATTTAAGGCAAGGAACATCACTGAAGATTGAAAGGACATTTTATAATGACAGAAAGCCAATTCCTAAAGAAGAGGCTGACCTTCAACAAACAACTACTTAGGTCTCATGACTTGGTTTTCTTACGTGGTAAAGAGTATGAAAGTTTTTATCTGACAGATTGCTATGAGGGCTAATGAAAGGACATGTACGTTTTTAACTACAGTACCTGGCACATAAGAAGTACATTTTTATTCTGTTTGAATACTGGCTCCACAAGGGCAACCATTGGTTTTCAGTGTGTTTCCTATACTTAGGACAGTGCCTAGAAAATACATATTTGTTGAATGAACAGCAATAATGAATGAATTCAGACTGTAGTGTTCATGTATAATGTTGTACTTACTGTCCCATACATACCTCAAGCCTTGGAATCTTAGAATTCATAGTCATCTAATTTTCTTTGGTATCTGTTATGGATTGAGTTGTATCTAGAAAAGGATGTGTTGAGATCCTGACCTCTAGTACCTCAAAACATGACCTTACTTGAAAATAAAGTATTGCAGATGTAATTGATTAAGTTGATGAGGTCATACTGGAGTATGATAGGCCTTTAATCTATTATGACTGGTATTCTTAGGAGAGACAGGGAGAGAAATACATAGAGTTGGGGGGTGGAATGCTGTGTTTTAATGGAGACAGAGATTGACATGCTGCAGCTGTATTCTGGCACACTACCACAGACTAGGAAAACATAAGGAAGGATTCTTTATTTTTTTTTAGAGATTTATTTTGTTTATTTGAAAGACAGAGTTACAGAGAGAGGTAGAGCTAGAGAGATCTTCTACCCGCTGGTTCTCTCCCCAAATGACTGTAATGGTCAGAGCTGAGCTGATCCAAAGCCAGGAGCCAGGAGCCTCTTCCAGGTCTCCCACAGAGGTGCAGGGGCCCAAAGACTTAGGCCATCTTCTACTGCTTTCCCAGGCCATAACAGAGAGTTGGATTGGAAATGGAGCAGCTGGGACTTGAACCAGTGCCCTTCTGGGATGTCAGCACTGTAGGCTGGGGCTTTAATCCGTTGCACCACAGCGCTGGCCCCAAGATTCTTTATTTTTAAAATTTATTTATTTGAGAGCAGAGTTACAGACAGAGAGGGAGAGACAGAAAGAAAGGTCTTCCATCTACTGGTTCACTCTCCAAATGGCTGCAGTTGCTGGAGCTGGGCAGATCTGAAGCCAGGAGCCAGGAGTTTCCTCTGGGTCTTTCACACAGATGCAGGGACCCAAGCACTTGGGCCATCTTCCACTGCTTTTCCAGGCCATTAGTAGAGAGCTGGATCGGAAGAGGAGCTACTAGGACATAAATCAGTGCCCCAGGCGGAGGCTTAACCCACCACGGAGGCTCAACCCAGCATGCCACAGCTCCGGCCTGAGAAGTATTCTCTTCTGCAGGTTTTGGAGGGAGCGTGGTCTTGCCAGCACCTCGACTGCAGACTTCTAGCCTCCACAGCCGGGAGACAAAAATTTCTGTTGTTTCTTGGCACCAGGTATCTGGTATGTTTTTATGGTACCCCTAGGAAGCTATAGCACATTATCCAAAGCAGAATTCCTGTTTAGAATGTCTCCCATACAGTCCTCTCCATTCTGTGATTTGGTGCTTTCATTGCTAGAGAACCTGGTAAACTTTTTAAAGTGAATCATTTCTGTTTATGGTTTGGGATATCTTAAACATCTTCTGTTTGATATTTTTTTAAAGATTTATTTATTTATTTGAAAGAGTTATACAGAGAGGAGAGGCAGAGAGAGAGTGAGAGTGAGAGAGTGAGTTCTTCCATCCACGGGTTCACTCCCCAAGTGGTCGCAATGGATGGAGCTGGGCCGATCCGAAGCCAGGAGCCAGGAGCTTCTTCCAGGTATCCCACATGGGTGCAGGGGCCCAAGCACTTGGGTCATCTTCTACTGCTTTCCCAGGCCATAGCAGAGAGCTAGATTAGAAGTGGAACAGCCAGGACTAGAACCAGCGCCCATATGGGATGCCGGCGCTTTGGGCCAGGGCCTTAACCCACTGCGCCACAGCACCAGTCCACTTCTGTTTGATATTGAAACCATCCTTCCTGTAGTCTCCATTAGTTCTTTTAGTGTTCCTTGGGTTTACACAATACAACTCTGGGTTTTCCTCTGTGTTATGACTTTTCCAATGCTTGCTGACAAATACAACTTATCAAGCTTGTTTTTCAAGATAAACATCAGGTTTCTTTGTGATATTTATCTGTCAAAAATAAGCTAAAGAACATTATACATACACAAACACACACACATTGAAGTAATTTAGCTGTTTGCTTTAATGGATGCTTGCACTTTGTGCAAATTAAAAGTTAAGTAAATTCAGCAATAATCAGCAAGAAAAAAGGTTTATGAAAGAAAACAGTTTTTAAAATATACCTATATTATCTTGTCTACTCGGAGAAATGTCTTTTTTAAGATTTAATACAATCTCTAGTTTTATAGAAAAAGATATAAAAGGTATTATAAAAGGATATTTTTGTTTCAGTAATGGATGGGAATGATAATATGCCTGGCTCATAGGATAATTGTAACAATGAAATGAGAAAGTGCACAGGAAGTGATAGTACAGTGCTTTGATGCAGTAAGTGGTCAGTACATGTTAACTATTGTTTTTACAGGTTGGGTATCCCTTATCTGAGATGCTTGGAACTAGAAGTGTTCCTGTTTTGGAGTTTTTTAGATTTTGGATTATTTGCATAGACTTTGCTAGTTGAGCATCTCTATTCAAAATATTGAAGAGTCCAAAAGTGCCGGCACACCAGGTTCTAGTCCCGGTTGGGGCGCCGAATTCTGTCCCGGTTGCCCCTCTTCCAGGGCAGCTCTCTGCTGTGGCCAGGGAGTGCAGTGGAGGATGGCCCAAGTGCTTGGGCCTTGCACCCGCATGGGAGGCCAGGAGAAGCACCTGGCTCCTGGCTTTGGATCAGCGTGATGCGCCAGCCTCGGCGGCCATTGGAGGGTGAACCAACGGCAAAAGGAAGACCTTTCTTTTTTATTTTTATTTTTTTTTATTTTTTTATTTTTTGACAGGCAGAATGGACAGTGAGAGAGAGAGACAGAGAGAAAGGTCTTCCTTTGCTGTTGGTTCACCCTCCAATGGCCGCTGTGGCCGGCGTGCTGCGGCCGGCGCACCGCGCTGATCCGAAGGCGGGAGCCAGG